CTCAGTACTCCCAACAGAACATAAGTTGAAGGAGGGAAAGGTCTTCTGCAGGACTGGTTATGAGAAACCAAAGGAAAAGTTAAAACTGTGATAATTTGGTAATCCCAGGACCTTTTCCATGACCAATGTTATTCTTGCTGACTTCAGCTGGAAATTGCCTTTGGGGTCCAGATTTGCAGAGCATGGTGAGGAGATAATGTGCGTGAGTGGAGGACTGGTTCCTTGGAACAAAAATGTCATGTAAATTTCATTTATTCTATTACCACTGATTCCCTTAAATGGCTCCACCACAACCACCTGTTTCACCAGCCAGCCATGGACAAAGTACTTAAGAAGCCCAAAGAACTCTGATGTTGCAGAAGTCTCTAAGGTGGTTTTCTAGTTCCTAAGCAAATCAAACCCACTTGTTCCTATTTCGCCACAGTGGTACCCAGAGCCAGCTTTCAATTACTGATGTTAATAGAGGGGCTGGGGGGGGGGCACAATTTTCAATTATCCACGCTAAGCTGCAACATACACATTCCTGAAAAGTTCTCTCTAAACTGAAATTCTGTATCTGAAACCCCCCTTTCCCGTTGACTGCTATAAAATATCAGATGTAATCTGAAATGGCAAACTAATGACACACTGAACCAATGTCTATTCTTCAGCCTTGTTAATCATGGCCCATAGATGAGCGAAATGAGAGGCAGGACTCAGGTCTGGATGCTGACAAAACGCCCAAAATGGGAATTTAAACCCAGCCAGGGCCAGGACTAAGTGAGGCAAGAGAGACAGGTGGGGTGCACAATTTTAGGAGGCGATGACCTACAACCAGCCTGAGAGGGAGCATCTCCTCAGCACTTCCTTATTTATTTCTTTTAAAAGGTTAAGATTAAAACTTTATTTTAAAATATTTTCATTTTTTTCCTTCTGACCTTTCTTACTTGAAAAATAAAAAAGGTGAAGTAAAAGTAATACTAATCATCCATAATTTTGCCGCATTTTTGAGAAATATAATCTCCCCCATTGTCACCACCATGAAATCTGGTCACCGTTACTAACAATTTGGTGCATGTTCGAGGCCCTTTTCCTTATACACACAAACTCATTCACATATATTTTTACTTAAAAAAATTGATCATCTTTAGCACTTACTTAAATTTAAAGAGGCTCTCCCTCTCAGGATTGTTAAGGGTCATCATCTCCTTAAATTGTACATCCCAGGTGTCTCTCTTCCCTCACCCTAGTCCCAACCCTGCTAGATACATCATCTTGGTGTCCTGGCTTACTTTACCTACTGGCAAACATTTTTTATTGAGTCACCATAATGTTATTGGCTGGTTAATGCAGGAACCAAGTCTTTGTTAAGACTTTTCTTTCTCTCTTCATCGACTTCCTTGCTTCCTTCCTTCCACTTCCTGTTCATTCACAGGAAGTAGGAAACAGAGTAGTTATGTGTTGGTTCACTTTAATGGTGGTAGAATAAACAAGGCAGGCAGACACTAATTGGCCTTTAGAGGCTGGTAATCAGGGGCCTAAGGATATTCCTGGCAACCAGGGTTGGGGAAAGAGAGAGATTCTCAGCCTGTACCCCAGAAGATGAGAGCCAAGGACCAACAGCTAGAGCCCCTCTCTCATCACTGAGAAGCCACAGAGCAATGAGTGGTCCTGGCCTTAGACCCCTCTGGGCGGTCCAGATGGCTAAACAGACCCAAAGTCTGCGCAGTTTGCCGTTACAAATTCCTCATACCAGTTAGAAATTTTGCACTCATCCTCAAAAGAGACTTCCACAAAGAAGTTGGCAGGGCCTCATCATCTTTGCAAGCAGAAAACATGGCTCCCCACAGCATGGAGACCTGTTTAAGCCAGGAACTCCTGGAGCCCACTCACCTGCAGTGAGGCCTTTATGACTTGTAGCTTCTTGGTCTCAGGGGTGCTAGGGCTATTTTATGGAGGCTGTGGCACATGTTAAAAGCCTTCACATTTTAGAATAAACAGGACCTAAGACTATACTTCCAGGGATCATTTCTATAGTTCGTTATTGTAGAAAAAACAGGACCTGCCAAGGCTGCAGGGAGGACAATGAGAAGGGCAGGTGCTGGGGTATCTCTATGTCAGATCTCTGGGTGGTTCAACATCAGCTGGTCCAAAAGTCTATGAAGAGATTCGCCCCTTTGGTTCTTTTCTCCTCCCTGATACTCTAGGCCTCCATTGTACCACGTCCACTCCAACCTCCATAGCCTAGCTAACTTCTGCTTAAATCTTTAACAGTTCAGGTTAGATAGTAACATACTGGCTCCCACACACTGAATGCATTCAAAGAACTGAGAGCACTGCCTGGGACACAAGACATGCCACATGCAGTATTCTGTATCTATATGAACCTACTGCTCCAAATGAAAACTATGTCAGGCAGATAAACCGATTCAGTCACTGTGGAGAATGACTTGGCAATATCTAAAAATAGCAAAGCTGCACATATGCCTTCACTTCCAGTGCTAGGTATACATCATGTCAAAACTCACACATGTGCAAAAGGATGTCTGCAAAGATGTTCACTGCAGCACTGCTTACAATGGTAAAAAATGAGAAACAATTCTAAGTGTCTATCAATAGGGGAAAGGGATAAATAAATGTGTCATTTTTACACAGCATTTACAGGACTGAACTGGCATTTATCTCAAAAAGATAAAACTGAGTGAAAAACACATGAAAAATGAGAGTACACTCTGATACCATTTACGGACAGTATGAGACATACACACACACACATACCAGATGGTTATATGTGGACACAAAAAATCAATTTTAAGTATGAAAACAGAGTTCAAAAGGATACACATTAAAATTCATGTTAACTTTCCACTGGAGGGCAAACGGAATGAAACTGGGGAGGACCCCAAAGAGGATTTCAGTGTCAACATGAGAGAGAACAAACAAGAAAAATGTTAACTGTCACATCAATACATATACATGTCTAAATATACACATGAAAAATTATTCCAAATATATACATTTTGCTCTATTTTTTCCCCCCCCCAAAAAAAAAGGAAGAGAAGAGGGACAGAGGGCATGCTTTAGGAAATCAGAAGGATTCCTTCACTTGTCTTAGGGAACTTGAAAAAGCTCTGTGTATGTCAAAGGCTGACAGAAGGTGATAGGAAAGAGAAAAGAGTTTTAAAAAATGAAGTTAAAAATAACTTTTGTAGGGCTTCCCTGGTGGCGCAGTGGTTGAGAGTCCGCCTGCCGATGCAGGTGACGCGGGTTCGTGTCCCAGCCCGGGAAGATCCCACATGCCGTGGAGCGGCTGGGCCCATGAGCCATGGCCGCTGAGTCTGCACGTCCGGAGCCTGTTGCTCCGCAACGGGAGAGGCCACAATAGTGAGAGGCCCGCGTACAGCAAAAAAAAAATAAATAAAAAAAAATAACTTTTATAAATGCATCTTTAATCAATACTATCCTTAGTAGTAGTTCCCAGACTTTAGTGTAGATGGAAGTCACTTGGGAGTTTATTAAAAATAGAAGTCTGTAACCTCCCTACCCCAGCCCCCAACATTATGAATCAGGAAATCATGAATGGAGCCCAGTACTCTCCTTTTCATTAAGAAAAATATATATATCCTTAGTACTGTAAAGCCTTTTAGTACTGAGAAACATTTAAAAATAAACTTAAAGTAAATGAAAACTGCAATTTTAATGTAAAAGCCTATTCCCCTTTGCCCATAAGTAGATAGCTAATAGTGGCTCTTAAAAGAAAATTTTATATTTTGATGACGATAACCTAAAGTCATTCTATACAATGTTTATTTACATAGCTCTATAAAATGTTGATCCTGTAACAGGACAATAATTACATTGTACAATGTACAATTGAAATGTTAAAGGCACACTCGTTAAAATTATGAAAACTTTCGTTCTAGGTAACAATTAACTTTAGTGGAACGATTCGAGAGTTTTCACTAAGGAATTTGAAAAAGAATACATACATGTGGGACTTCCCTGATGGTCCAGTGGCTAAGACTCCTCACTCCCAATACAGGGGGCCCAGGTTTGATCCCTGGTCAGGGAACTAGATCCTACATGCCAAAACTAAAAGATCCCGCATGCCACAACTAAAAAAAAAAAAAAAAAAAAAATCCCACGTGCTGCAACTAAGACCTGGAGCAGCCCCCCCCCGGCAATAAGATACATGTATGTGTATAACTGAATCACTGTGTACACCTGAAACTAACATAACATTGTTAATCAACTATCCTCCAATATAAAATAAAAATTAAAAAAAAAACTAAATAAAAGTCACCAATGTAGAACAACACAGCTTTAAGCTATCAAGACTGTGTTATCCATTATCTACTGATGACCTCCTCTCTTCCTGCTTTCCCAAGCAGAGTTAGGGCACCTCCCCAGGGTTCCCATAGCCCTTACCTCACACCTGGCACTAGCACACAGATCTGTGCTGTAGTTTACCTGTGGTCATATCCATGCTCCTCTCTAGGTTGTGAGTTCCTCCTAACAGGGAAGGCCTCATGCTCTCTTTGCTACAGTGTCTAGCATAGTGCCTGGCAAGCTGTAGGCACTCAACAAATAGCTCTGGAATGAGTTAGCACGTCTGAACAGGTCTTAGACTTGAAGACATCCAATGAAAAAGGAGGCTCCAGCACAGAGTTGGCAGACCTGTTCTCTAAAGAACCAGACAGTAAATATTTCGGGCTTTGAGGGCCATATGGTTTCTCTTGCAACTTCTCAACCAGCCAGTGTAACTTGGAGGATGCCAGAGATAATACATAAATAAAGAAATGTGCCTCTGTTCCAACACAACTTTGTGAACACTGAAATTTGAATCTCATATAATTTTCATGTGTCCTGAACTGTTTTTCTTCTTTTGATTATTTCCAACTATTGAAAACTGTACACAACCGTTCTGAGCTTGTGGGCCGCACAAAAACCAGCAGCAGGGTTTTCCAACCCCAGCTCTAGCAGATCTGGGCACATAGGTAGGAGGAAGAAGCTCAAGATACCAGATAGGCTGGAATAGACTGAGTCTAAGAAGAGAAGAAAGGGGTCTATGTTGAATGAAAAGCCAGTGGACCCTCACAGTACCTAAAAATGGGACAAAAAGATACAATACAGAAACAAAAAACAATGCAGTTTTTTTGCTGCTGTTCTTTTATTTTAAACCAGTTCTACCCTAACAGTAAAGCTCACATTCAATGAACTAATGGCTTAAGGAAGTCAGAAAAAAAATTGGTATAGTTAAAAGTCATTAGTAAGACTAGTTGGGAAAAAAACAAAAGCTTTTTACCCCTATCTCAAGCATTGCTAAGATATATTCTCCTTTCTCTCTGATGCCCACTCTCAGGTAGAAATGCAAATGAGCAGGGAAGTGGACAAAAGATGGGGAGCAAAAGGAGACCAAAGGGATTCTGTCTCAGAACGCCCAAGCATTGACTGTCCTGTCCTGTTTTACCAAGTCTTGTGCATAAAATCATAGATGTCTTCAAAGTTAAAAGAGGCTCAGAATCAAAGAATCTGCGCCATTCATTAAAAACAATTATAACTTTGTAAATAGCACACATTTTATAAAAATTCAAATATAAAGAAGGCAAGAGAAGAAAACATAAGCACCTACAGATAACAACAGTTAAGATATTGCTGGGTATCCTTCTAGACTCTGTTTTCCTTAACTGCACTGTGTGTATGTATGTCTGTGTGTGTGTTTTTTTAATGCAAAAATAATCCTCTTTATTTTATAGATGGAGAAACCTGAGCCCTGGTACACTTGCTCAAGATCATGAATAAAATGAGTTTGTAAAAACTCAAGATCTGTACCTTTCACCTGTTGGGCCAATGCTTTCTCATATCACCTCCTAATAGAAATAAATCATCAGCAGCTTGGATAAGTTAGTGCCTTCTTAGCACAGGTGCTCAATAAATTAATACATGGTGGCATGAATGATGCCAACTGGGCTGCCCTGTTTATCTCAGCTAAGCTCTGTCCAAGCCAGCTTCATCAGAGAAGCTGCTAATTATCAGTAACACCAGAGAACACAGTTTTTAACATGCTTGCCAAATCCCAAAGAGCACAGGGATACAAGGACAGCCTCCTTTAATAGGAACTGACATAGAGCCTAGAATCTTTGCTACTGAAAGTGCTTCACTTTGGAATATTCTTTTGGTTTTACTTTAAAATGAGGCACAGTTCTGGGTCTTTTGTAGGTTAGTTTATCCAGCATTCATTTCTGGATTCTCCACATGTCATAAGGGGGACATTACAAAGAACAGAAAGCCGCATGACGTTTGCGTTAGGTTTGCCTTACATTTCAACTGAGTAAGATCAGACTTAACCATGAATAAAACAATTTCTGATAGTCTATTCATGTCAAGAATCATAACACCTTACATACTCCAGGTCTAGTTGTTCTGCCAGGGTGGCCCGTGTGCCCTGGGATCCCACCCCAGTCCACTCCCACTCCAGTGCCAACCAGCCTGCCAAACCTGCCCAGCACATGCAGTCTGCCAAGGAAACACTCCTACACAAGGCCATGCCTTTAAGACTGGGAGAGGTAGCTGTTTTGCCTAACTCTTAGAAACAAACACAGAAAGAAAGAAAGAAAAAAGAAACTAGAAGCAGAAGGGTATGTTCCAAATGAAAGAACAAGATAAAACCCCAGGAGGAAAAAAAAACTTAATTAAATGGAGATAAATAATTTACCAGATAAAGAGTTCAAAGTAATGGTTATTAAAATGCTCACTGAATGCAGGAGAAGAATGGAAGAAGACAGAACTTCAAGAAAGAATTAGAAAATATAAGATAGAACAAATCACAGCTGAAGAATATGGTAACTGAAATGAATCAGCAGATTAGATGATACAGAAGAAGAGATCAGCAATCTGGAAGACAGAATAGTGGAAATCACCCAATCAGAATGACAAAAAGAAAAAAGAATTTTGAAAAATGAGGATTGTTTAAGGGACGTCAGTGAGAACATCAAGTGTACTAACATTTACGTTATAGGGGTCCCAGAAAGAGAAAAGAGAGAGAAAGAATCAGAAAACTTATTTCAAGAAATAATGGCTAAAAACTTCCTTAACCTGGGTTAAGGAAAAAAGAAATAGGTATCCAGGTCCAGGTCCAGAGAGTCCCAAACAATATAAACCAAAAAGCGTTCACACCAAGACATATCATAATTTAAACGGTAAAAGTTAAAAACTGAATTTTTAAAAGCAGCAAAAGAAAAACAACTAGTCACATACAAGGGAACCCCCCCATCCCAACAAGGCTACCAGCTGATTTTTCAGCAGAAACTTTACAAGCCAGAAGGGAGTGCTAAAAGGAGAAAATTTACAACCAAGAATACTCTACATAGCAAGGATTCAGAATTGAGGAGAGATAAAGAGTTTCCTAGACAAGCAAAAACTAAAGGAGTTTACCACTACTAAACCGGTTTCACAAGAAATGTTGAAGGGTCTTCTTTAAGTGGCAAAGAAAGGTCATAACTAGAAATTTTTTAAAAATGAAAGAAAAAGAATCTCACTGGTAAAGGCAAATATATAGTAAATGCAGTGGATCAGGCACTTAAAAAGCAAGTATGAATGTGAAAAGACATAAGCAGTAATTTAAAGTCAACTGTAAGTAGTTGAGGAATACACAAAATTAAAATATGACATAAAAAACAAAACATGGAGGGGGAGGAAATATTTACTGCTTTTAGAATGTGTTCAAACTTAAGCAACTCTTAGATTCAAATAAACTGTTACATCTATATAGGTCGATATATATGAACTTCATGGTGACTACAGACCAAAAACCTACAAGAGCTACACAAAAAATAAAGGGAACAGAACCTAAATATAATGCAAAAGAAAATGATCAAACCACAAGGGAAGAGACTAAGAAAAGAAATGAACACAGAAGAACTACAAAAACAACCAGAAAACAATTAACAAACTGGCAATAAGTATATACTTATCAATAATCACTTTAAAAATCAAAGGACTAAATGCTCCAATCAAAAGACACAGGGTGGCTGAATGAAGACCCATCTATATGCTGCCTACAAGAGACTCACTTCAGATCTAAAGACAGACTGAAAGTTAAGGGATGGAAAAACATATTCCATGCAAATGGAAACAAACAAACAGAAAAGGCTAGGGTAGCAATACTCATATCAGACAAAACAGACTTTTAAAAGACAGTATACAGGGCTTCCCTGGTGGCGCAGTGGTTGAGAGTCTACCTGCCAATGCAGGGGACACGGGTTCGAGCCCTGGTCTGGGAAGATCCCACGTGCCACAGAGCAACTGGGCCCGTGAGCCACAAATACTGAGCTCTGTGCGTCTGGAGCCTGTGCTCCGCAGCAAGAGAGGCCGCGACAGTGAGAGGCCCGTGCACCACGATGAAGAGTGGCCCCCGCTTGCCACAACTAGAGAAAGCCCTCGCACAGAAACGAAGACCCAACACAGCCAAAAATAAATAAATGAATAAATAAATTTATATAAAAAAAAGACAGTATACAACAAAAGATAAGGGCATTACATAATGATAAAGGGGTCAACCCAAGAAGATGATATAACATTCATAAATATTTATGCACTCAACATAGGAGCACCTAAATACATAAAGCAAATATTAACAGAAACAGAGGAAGAAACTGACAGTAACACAATTATAGTAGGAGACTTTAATACTCCATTTACATCAGTGGATAGATCATTTAGACAGAAAATTGATAAGGAAACATTGGCTTTGAATGACACATTAATCCAAATTGACTTCACAGATATATACAGAATATTCCACTCCAAAAGAGCAGAGTACACATTTTTTTTCAAGTGCACATGGAACATTCTCCAGGATAGATTACATGTTAGGCCACAGAACAAGTCTCAGTAAATTTAAGAAAACTGAAATCATATCAAGCATCTTTTCAACCACAATGGTATGAAACAATACATCCATTACAAGAAGAAAACTAACACATGGAGACTAAACAACATGCAGCTAGACAACCAATAGGTCAACAAAGAAATCAAAGAGAAAATTTAAAAATCCCTGGAGACAAATGAAAATGGAAACAACTTTCCAAAATCTATGGGACAGCAAAACCAGTTCTAAGAGAGAAGTTCATAGTGATCCAGGCCTACCTCAAGAAACAAGAAAAATCTCAAATAACCTAACTTTACACCTAAAAGAACTAGAAAAGAACAAACAAAACCCAAAGTTATCAGAAGGAAGGAAATAATAAAGATGAAAGCAGAAGTAAATGAAATAAAAACTAAGAAACCAATAGAAAAGGTCAATAAAAGTAAGAACTGGTTTTTCAATAGATTTTTTTAAATGACAAACTGTTAGCCAGACTCATGGTGGGGTGAGGGGGAGAACCAAATAAATAAAATCAGAAATCAAAGAGAACTTAAAACTGATACCAAAGAATAATAATGTTACTAAAACAACTATATGCCAACAAATCAGACAACTAGGAGAAATGGATAAATTCCTAGAAACATTCTATCTCCCAAGACTGAATCAGGAAGAAACAGAAAATCTGAACAGACCAATCACTAGCAATCAGTCATCAAAAAGCACTCACGAAACAAAAGTCCAGGACCAGACAGCTTCACAGGTAAACTCTACCAAACAGACAGCTTCACAGGTAAACTATCAAAATACTCATGGCATTTTTCACAGAACTAGAACATATAATCCTAAAATTTGTATGGAACCACAAAAGACCCCAAATAGCCAAAGCAAACTTGAGAAAGAAGAAAGCTGGAGGTATTACACTCCCTGATTCCAAACTATACTACAAAGCTATAGTAATCAAAACAGTATGGTACTGGAACAAAAGCAGACACATAGCTCAACAGAACAGAATAGAGAGCCCAGAAATAAACCCATGCTTACATGGTCAATTAATTTACAACAAAAGAGGCAAGAATACACAATGGGGGAAAGACAGTCTCTTCATTGAATGTTGCTAGGAAAACTGGACAGCTACATGCAAAAGAATAAAACTAGTCCACTTTCTTAGACCATATACAAAAACAAAACAAAAACAAAAAAACCTCAAAACGGATTAAAGACTTAAATGTAAGACCTGAAACCATAAAACTCCTAGAAGAAAACATAGGCAGTAAGCTCTTTGACATCGGTCCTAGCAATACTTTTTAAGGTCTGTCTCTTCGAATAAGGGTAACAAAAACAAAACTAAGCAAGTGGGACTACATCAAACTAAAAAGCTTTTGCACAGCAAAGAAAACCTTCAACAAAATGAAAAGGCAACCTACTTAAAAGCAGAAGATATTTGCAAATGATATGTCTGATAAGGGATTAATATCCGAAATATATAAAGAATTCATACAACTCAATATCAAAAATCAAAAAATCTGATTAAGCTATGGCCAGAGGACCTGAATAGACATTTTTCCAAAGAAGACATACAGATAGTCAACAGGCACATGAAAAGATGCTCAACATCACTAATCACCAGGGAAATGCAAATCAAAACCACAATGATATATCACCTCACACCTGTGAGAATGGCTATTATCAAAAAGATAAGAAACAAGGCCTTCCAAGATGGCCCACACTCTGTCTATAGAGAGTGTATCTCCCTGAATAAACCTTCTTTCACTTTACTATGTCTTGCTCTTGAATTCTTTCCTGCACAAAGCCAGGAACCCACACTTGGCGGCCATTCCAGGGACTCAGACATGACTTGGGATGTGACCATTCTCTCGCACCCCACTCTCTTTCCTGCAACATCCTTTCTGGCACCCAATGCGGGGCCTCAAAGGCCATAATCTCGATCCGCCTATTGGGCTAGGGCTTCCCTCTGAAGGGTGGCTGGGACTTACCCTGAGCCATGTAGATTCAAGCAGCCGGTTAAGTGGCAGCTGACGTCGCCTGCAGGATCTGGCAGAGACCAGTTCTCTGGCCGTGAAGAAGCACACTGAGGCCAAGGCTTTTCCCCCTCAGTCTTTCTCATTCTCCTATTGCTCTATCTCTTTGGGCTTGAAAAGATCCACCCAGACGACCACCAAACATCCAAATTAAGACTGTGCGGCAAGTAATTGACAACTTGGTTGGGTCTAAAGAACTCCTGCCCCAGGGCTTCCCTGGTGGCACAGTGGTTGAGAATCTGCCTGCCAATGCAGAGGACATGGGTTTGTGCCCTGGTCTGGGAGGATCCCACATGTCGCAGAGCAACTAGGCCCGTGACCCACAACTACTGAGCCTGCGCGTCTGGAGCCTGTGCTCCGCAACAAGAGAGGCCGCCATAGTGAGAGGCCCGCGCACCACGATGAAGAGTGGCGCCCGCTTTCCACAACTAGAGAAAGCCCTCGCAGAGAAACGAAGAACCAGCACAGACAAAAATAAAAAATAAATAAAATAAAAGATAAGAAACAAGTGTTGGTGATGATGGAGAGAAAAGGGAATCCTTGTGAACTGTTGTAGGGAATGTAAATTGGTACAACCACTACAGAAAATAGTATGAAGGTTCCTCAAAAAACAGAACTACCATATGATCCAGCAATTCTACTTCTGGGTATTTAGCCGAAGACAACAAAAACACTAATTTGAAAAGATACATGCATCTCAATGTTCACTGCAGCGTTATTTACAATAGACAAGATATGGAAGTAAACTAAGTGCTCAGTGATGGATGAATGGATAAAGAAGATATGATACATACACACACACTGGAATTTTTACTCAACCATAAAAAATAATGAAATCTTTCCCATTTGTGACAACATGGATGGACCTAGAGGGTATTACGCTAAGTGAAATAAGTCAGACAGAGAAAGACAAATACTCCAATTTTTCCTTGGATTGCCCCTCTCCCATTAGATGTGGTTCTACCAAGAATGTCAGCTGAGTACCCCACTACTGCCTCGCCACAGAAGTGAGTGCATTACCCAAGGGAGGCCATTATGCTCTCTTCATTAGTAACGTTAACCTGTAGTGGAATCATAAGAAGACAAAGGTGTTCAGAGTTGAGACATTCAAAAGGTAGTGCTCCAGGGCCCCCCATTAGTTCCCCGGATATTTTCCACCCTTTATTTCATTCACTATTCAACAAATATTTATGGAGAGCTCCTCCTGCTACGTGCAAAGCTTTGTTGCAGGCAGTGTACAGACAGACAAATTTTCATCCTCACAGAGCTTACATTTCAGTGAGAAGAAAACAATAAATACATAAGTCAAATATACAGTATATTAGATGGTGATACATGTTATGGAAAAAAATTAAACAGTGCTAGTGGGTAGGGAGCACTGGGGCTGGAGGTTGTAATCCTAGAGCAAGACCTCACTGGGGAGAGAGAGGATGGAAAGTGGGCAGAGCAGGTCTAAGGATCAGAGGAGCGAATAAATCCTAGGGCACAGAAAATGAGACTGAAAAGGAGCAGCCAAGGAGGTAGGGGGAAAAAACAGGAGAGTATGATGACCTGGAAACCAAGTGAAGAACGCATTTCAAGGAGGAGAGAGTGTGAAACTGTGTTAAGTCCTTCAGAACCATCAGGGAAGGTAAGTTGAAACTGACTTAGCAACACCAACAGGAGGCATTTCAGTGGAGCAGTAGGTGTAAAAGCCCGAGTGGTGGGACTTCCCTGGTGGCACAGTGGTTAAGGATCCACCTGCTAATGCAGGGGACATGGGTTCGATCCCTGGTCTGGGAAGATCCCACATGCCGCGAAGCAACTGGGCCCGTGTGCCACAACTGCTGAGCCTGCGCTCTAGAACCCATGAGCCACAACTACTAAGCCCGCGCGCCTGGAGCCCGTGCTTCGTAACAGGAGAATCCACCACAATGAGAGGC